AAAAAGTATAAATGAAAATAACAAAATATATTTTTCTTTTAATTAATTTGTATATAATATTTTAATATTTCTAAGGATTAATAAATATTTTTTAATTTATTTTTATTAAATCAATAAATTAAAAAGATTTATTTTTAGTTATGTGTAATTTATTAATTCTAAGTTTAATCTTTTTTATTTAATAACTTATTTATGTCTAATTTTAAAGAGTATTTATTGTAGAATTGATAATAAAATAAGAAGGTAATTTATTCATTTTGTTTAGTAGGATAACAAAGTATTTAGTATAAGAATTACGAGTTTATTTATTTATAATAATGATCTTTAATTATAGTTATTAAAGAATTTTTTTTAAAAGAATAATTAAGAAGTATGAAAAAATATAAAAAAAATTAAAACAAACAATAATTCTTACATAAAAGTGAATAAGTCAATATCAATTGTTAAGTTAAAATAGAGATAATTCAAACCAATAGTATTTCTATACTAATAATAATTTTTGTTAATCTAATTCAGTTACTTTTCTTCATCATTTTTTATTGTTTCATCAGAATTTTGATTATTTTCTTTTATAGAATCAATATCTATTTCAACATCATTATCTTCTACTTCTTTTTTTAATTCTTTTTGTTTTTTTAAAACAATACAATTCAATGTTTGTGTTGTAAGACATCCCACAGTAGCAATTCCACCCCATATTAATCCAACCCATTGAGACCATTCTAAGTTATCTGTTTGTGTTGATATTAAACCAGCAACAACAGGAGAAAGACAACAAGTTAATTCTCCAACCATTTCTACTAATCCCATCATCAACCCTCTTCTTTTAGCTGAGACTTTAACAGAATACAGTACATTCATTTGAAGATCTAGTCCAGAAATGAAGCCAGTTGGAATTGCAAAAATTAAACAAACCCAACCATTTTTGATGAAATTTAATGCAAGACATACTAACCCTAAAACAATTGACATGACTGTACTAAGAATCATTTTATATTGCCATGCTTCAATGTATCCAATAATAAAGAAACAAATCGTTTGTGAGAAGTAAATAATTCCAAGGAAAACACTTAAGTATACTTCTGGATCATCGTTCATACCATTTAAAACAATTTCTCTATCAACTGCATATAAAATATATTGATTACATAAAATTGCTATTGTTCCATAAACATGGAAATGAAGAATAAGTGCATTGATAAAATAATAAAGAATATATTTTGGTGGTTGTGGATGATTAATTTGATTTATTCTTTCTTTCCAACCAACTTGTTTTGTTTCTGAACCAGAAATATTTTCTGTATTTAACTCATCATTCATCTCTTTCTCATTACCTTCTTTACTTTGTTTCTTTTTCTTCTTTGGCCGTTCAATTAAATGGTTCTTTTGTGGTAAAGTTGGAAATAGGATATACGCTAACATAGTTAATCCTCCACATAGTAATAGAGAAGAATTAGCACCAAGCTTAACTTTTAATGTTCCTCCTAATAAAAATCCAATTGCCTTTCCTAATGACCAACATAATGCAAACATTGATAACTTTTTATTTTCTTCTCCTTTATATGATTCTGTTGTAATTAAACTTTCGCATGGTGACCAAAAGAAAGCTAAAGCAGCTGATTGTTGAAGAAGAAGAAAATAAATTGGTAAAATTGACTCTGTCTTAATATAAATTAACCCAATAGTTAAACTACATGTTGCTTGTAATATAAAAGAGATTCGACACATTAGTGCAGGGTCTGTTTTATCAGCAATAAACCCCATAAACGGTGAAACAATACCAGTTAATCCAAAAGTAATACCATCAGCTAAGGCAATTTGAAAAGATGAAGCATCTCTATCTTGCATAAGAAGAGGAACAACTAACCAAAAGAAATAAGTTGACATATTCATAAGGAATCCACCAATGTAATACCGAAGCAAGTTTAACTTAGTTGTGTATTTAGTCAAATTAGAAAAGGTCTTACAGCAAGACATTATTTAAATAACAAGTACCCTCTTCTATTTTTTTGATAATAGAAAAATGTTAATTATATGGAATTTGGGAGAAAAGAAAAGAACTAGGAAGATTATTTTGGATGAAAAGATATTTATGTTTTGAATAGCACAATTCAAACTTTGAAAGAAAGGTTGTTCATCTTCCAATTATTATAAGAAATAATTATATTATCATTTATTTACTCAATGAAATTGTGTTAACTAATGTATTAAATATTTCAAAATAAGAATTAGTTTTAACAACTAAGAGTTCTTTTTAAAATAATATAAATAAACATATTTTATTTAATAGTTAATGTTTAGTATAAATGCTAAATACTCTTTATAAATCTTTATGACTGTTATCGTTAGAGGCTTTTCATAACTGGTCAACAATTAGTTCATAACTATGCTAAACCAACTATTTCATTCTTTCTATTGAGTTTTGACATCTGAGAAATTTCTCAATGAAGATGATTTTACGAAAGAAACTAGTATCTTCTCAAAATAAAGTAAATGAGTTTATTGAAGTATCTGTTAGTCACTAATCTTTTTACTTTTCTTATTTTGAGAAGAAAAATAACAAAACAATAACAAAAATGATTAAAATGAATGGATAAGAAGTTTTAAAACAGTATAGAGAGTCGTTTTTGTATTGTTAGTTAATGATGAAGTTTACTAAATATAGATTTAAAAAAAAAATAATAAAAAATCAAAATAATGATTTAGTATAAAGAAAGAACAATTTACATTTTTTATCTATTTTTACACAAATCATTGGTATTAAAATAAAAAAGAACTTAATTATTTTCAATTCTTACTTTCATGAGTGTTGCGGATTATTCTATTCTTTCAACAATATCTAATTTGGGCACAGATATAATAGGGTATGTTGGTCAAGATTCTAGTACAATACCTATTAACATTGTTGAATATAATTGTTTTATTGACTCAATGTATAAAGACCTCTTTCAAACTCCTATAGAGGAAACACCAATTCAAGGCTACCACAAATGAGGGTTGAAGTGTATTATTTTTTTAATTTATTCTAACATTTATTTTGACTGGTAAATGACTTATTTCAATGTTGTTAGTTTATTCCATTAATTTGGTAAATAACATAAATATTAAATTAATAAATTGTTATTCTTAATTACTAATGTTATTGAATTCTTTGTTTTTAAATAAATGTATATTTTTGTTATTCAAAACAGTTTTAATAAATAATTCATAAAATAACTAAAAGTAAATAACAAGGGTTGTTAATAAAAAAATAAAAACAAAATTAAATCATTGATGAGTGCTTCAACTAAAACGTCTAAAATTACACAATCTTCTGTACTTATCTGTGATGGACTTCCAGTAGGAATTCCTGTTGCTTCAGTTTCTAAATTAACATTATTCTTAAAAAGAATGGTATTGATAAAGAATGGAGCAGAATTATCTGAACAACCAAATAATGTAATAGTTTTTGTTGATGAAACAAGCCAAAAAACTACAGGGATTGGGTTTATTGATTTTAAAGATGATGAAGCAGCAATAAAATTTAAAACAAGATTTGTTGAATTAAAATTTGATAATAAAAATACGTTAAAATTTTATACTAAAAAAGAAATTGATGAAATTTTAAAAGAAAATGATGAATATACACCATTAGTCTTTAATCCAATTGAAGTTACTGATTTTAAAGGATGGCTTAAAGAAGATAAATATACTGAAGGAAATGAATGTTTTGCAACATTTCAATATGGAAAAACTATTTCATTAGGATGGTATAACCCAAGTATTCCAAAAGAAATAACAATGCAAGAAGAACAACCATTTATATCATCTAATTGTTCATTTTCACCATCAGGTACATTTTTATATTCAATCACTGAACATGGATTAATTGTAGTTCAACCAGATTGTAAAAAGAAGTTCCAATTTCCACATTCAGGATTAACACATGTTACTATTTCACCACATGATACATTTATTGCTACATATTCAGCTACAGCACCTTATAATAGACATATTATTGTTTGGGATAGAAGATTTACAAAAGGTATTAAATTCTTTGATTTAAAAGCAAATAGTTTAAAAAGAATGACAGAAACATTAAAAAAAGATAAAACTTTAACACCAATTGGACAAGATTTTGTTCAATTTAGTTATAATGAAAAATATTTAGCTAGAATTAGTGAAGTTGATTCTAATTCAATTGAAATATATACTACACCAACAATTCAATTATTAAGTAATAAATTAGTTACATTTGAAAGTTCAATTGATAAAATTAGTTGGAGTCCTAAATCAAATATTATTGTTGCTTATCATGAACCACTTCAAAAAACTAATGAACAAGCACATTTCTACTTTTATGATGTTGATAAACAAGAAATTATTTTTAAACATAAAGTATTTTCATTAAAAGGAGCAGAATTTGGATGGCATTCATCAGGAAAGAAATTAGTTGTTCAATGCAATAAAAATAAGAAAACAGCTGTTTTAGTATTTACATTAGATAAAACAATTACTGCATCTATGAATGAATTAAATGCTACACCTCATTTTATGAGTGTTAATCCAATAAAAATGCAATTTGGTATTATGGCATATCAACATAGTAAAAAAGGAGATTCATTATTCCCAACATTACATATTTATGATATTAGTAGTAATGAAACTAAATTAATTTCATCACTTCCTAATATCGAAGCTAAATCATTTATTTATTCACCAAATGGACAATTTATGGTAGTAAGTGGAATTAATACATCAGAACCATATTTATATTTCTATAATACTGATAGAATGAAATTATATAAAAAAGTTCCAATTGAAAATATGAGTTATATTTGTTGGGATCCAATGGGATTATTCCTTGGTGCAGTTCGTTCATATGTTTATTCTCCACATGCAAAGAATGGATTTATGTTATATGATTGTTTTGGAAATTTACAATTTGAAACATACAAAACTAATTTTGCTGGATTATTATGGAGACCACAACCAACAAATATTATTAAACCTGAAATGGCTAAAGAAGTTGAAAGTAAATTTAATGAATGTTTAAAGACAATGAAAGAAGAAGATGAACGAAAGAAAGAACAAATTGAATTAGAAAAGAAACAAAGAGCTGATGAATTAATGAAAAGGTTCAGAAATATTGTTCAAAAGAATGTTCAATTATCTGCTAAAGAACATTTAAGAGCTTATGATTCTGGAATGAAAATTATTGTTGAAGAAATTAAACAAAAGGCAGAATCTAATGAAGAAGTAAAAGAAAATATAACAGAAACTCAGTAATTTAACATTCTTTGAATTATTTCTTTTTCTATAAAAATAGGAAATTTTTAAAGATTTATGAAAATCAATTAAAATTCTTTTTAACAACAATCATTCTTATTATTATTTAATATAATAAATATTTTTATTATTGAACATGTCGTTTAGCTGTTCCAATTACACATGTATTTACTTTAGTTGCAAATCTTAATGAAGATATTGTTTCTAATGTATCTTGTTGGTCAGATGAAATATTAACAAACATTAATGTTTTTGAATCACTTCCAAGACAATTTTGAAGAAGTTCTGTTAATTTACTATTTCTATATGGAATATGACTATCTTTATTTGCAATAGCAACAATAACATCACCTAATGCACTTAAACTTTTATTAATATTTTTTGTTTCTTCTAATCGTTCTCCTTTTGCTCCACTTTCATCTAATCGTTCACTACCAGCCAAATCTACTAATGTTAATCCTCCAAATCGTTGTTCATTTGACCCAATATTTCTTCCACATAAATCCATCATAAAAATTGAATGTGATCTTGAAGATTGTGCATTACATTTAGTTGCTGCAACTGCTCTATTCCGTGTTGCTATATTAATAAGATGATCAACTTCTTCTGCTTCAAAAACTTCAATAACATTTGCTTCTGGTAATATTACTAATGGCCCATTATATTTAATTTGAAGTTTTTTTGATTCTTCTCCATTTACTAATAAATCAAATATGTTGTTATTATAAATTTCAACATATTTAACATTAATTTTAAATTGCCATCCTAATGTTTTTAATTCTTCAATTGTTGTAAATATTTTATGAACAGTAAGTGGAATCATTCCAGGTTTATCATTTGTTCCTTCCATTGTGTAAGTTTTCCCACTCCCTGTTTGTCCATATGCAAAAATACACGTTTGATATCCATCAAGACTTGACTGAACTAATTGACTTATTTCTTCAAAAATATCTTGCTGTGTTGAATCACTATCAAATGCTCTATCAAATCCAAATTTTATTTTTTCTTTTTTTCCACTAAAGTTAATTGAATTAACGATAACAGCATTATTATCAGTTACATCAACACTAATCCCTTCATTTTTTAATGGTGGTCGAACTCTACAAAATACTCTTACATTTCCTTTTAATTCCATTACTTCATTGTGAAGTTTCCTTCTTTCTTTTTCTGAATGAATTAATTTATCTTCAATCTTTTCTAATTCTGATTGTAAAAAGTTATTTTGTTTATTAAGACTTTGAATTGTTTCTAATAGTTCTTGTATTTTATTTTGTGCATTTACATTCATTTGTTTTTCCATTTCCCAATTTCCATTAGTTGTTTCAACTGTTCTTTTAAGTACATTGAGTTGATTTTTTAATGATTCATTTTCAAATAATATTGACTGTTTCTCCATTTCAATATTTTTTATTTTTTCATTATTTAACTTTAATTCTGATTCTACTTTTTCTAATTCTCTTTTTAATTCATTTTGAACTGGGTTGGCAAGAACTTGATTTCCTCCAATAACTTCTGTCCTTTCTATCTCATCCTTTTTTAATTGTTGTAATTTTTCCTCCATTATTTCTCCCAATAACTTTGTTAATTCACTTGTGTCAAATGTTGCTTGTTTGTTGAAAGTAGGAATTGGCTTTGAACCAGATAATTTTAATGAAGTGTGTTTTGTGTTGTTTTGTGGTTTTGTAACAGTAGTTTCCTTTATCAAACGA